AATATTTTTTCAGTGAGAAAATTTTTTTTTATAATTATTTTTTTATGGTAGCTCATTACCCGGGTGAAATCATCAGCCTTAGTATATGCATAAATGTATGTACTATAACGAGCTACTAAACGTATGTCTGTAAGTAAATTAACATGAATATATGTATGTACATATTTATTAGTTGTGTGCTATATACAAAATTTAAAATTAAATTAAACCAATTTAATAGAATTTACACAAAAAATATATATCTATGAATGTATGCTAATGAACGAAATTAAATTAAAGTTAGGAAGGAGAATATGCTCTCTGCTAGACGGCAACGTTACTGATACATAGGTAAGACACTTGCACGTACAAACATACTAAATATGTGCACAGCATCTGCCTACATACACACAAATATGTATATATTATGTATTTATGTTTCTACAATATAATTCAATTAAACTCGTTTATGCGCAAAAACTCTTACGAATACACACAAATACGTTTATGTATATACATATTGCAAATTTCTAAAACGCTAATAATATTTCTGCTATAAATATTTATGTATAACTAATACAAGTAAACAAGCGCTTATAGTTGTTTTATGGTTTTTACGTTATTCCTCAAAAAATTAAAGAAATCTTGATATGCATTTCAAAATAGGCATAGCAACAACAACCGATGCGCATTAATGAAAATTTAGCTCAAATGAAAAAATGGCTACAAGCACACGCAAGTCGATTTATAAGTATGCGTCTAGTAGGTAATAAAAGTTTGTATAAAAAAACAAACAAACTAAAATATAAAAATGTCCGTAACATTACATTAGTACGCGCGAATTTCGTTGCATAACAATTACAATATAACATTAAACATAAATATAACATTTCCATTCCTGCTACCTTTATTTGGTTGCCAATTACACCACACACTCAACAAGACCGCCCACAACTGCTTCGGCGTCCTCTTTACTTGTACACAATGGTCACTACTCGCCGCTTTCCGCTCTACTCCTGGCAGAAGCCTTCAGTCTCTTCAATGGCAAATGTCAATTTCTCCACTAGCTGATCGTAACTCTTATACGGCGGCAAGTCCAAACGATTGAAGCAGGTATGCGAACGCGGCAACCATGTTTCTTTGCCAACTTTTTCTATGCAAAAGCGTTGCGGTCCATTGGAGCCCATTAACTCAGCGAAACCGCCGACGGGCACACGACACGTACCCGTAACAAATTGCAGCAAGCGTGCACGCTTTTCATTGTCCGTATCGCGCACAAACTGGTGTGAAAAAAAATTGCAATATTAGATATTTGGGGAAATGTTTGAAAACATTTGCACTTTTTCTTTACGAGACGCTAACTCACCTGCCAGAACCACATCACTTGCTTGGAGTTGCGATTGTAATGCCTGTAAATCGTATTCCGTTGCCAATCATCCACATCTACATCTTGCATGCCGCACAATATGAGCTCCAATTCACGTTCGTCGAAATACTTAAGCCATTCGAGCGGCACCACCTCGTTGAAGCCTTCCAGGAATGTTTTTGTCTGCTGCTCAATACCTCTGAAAATGGATTTTTTGTTTGGTATTATGTATTAGTATAATTCTACAGATTACATTCCTTAAAGATTATCATCTTTTAAAGAGACTCTGAGCTAAAGTTCTCTTAAACTGATCATTTCAATACTTGTTGGTTCTAAGAATTTTAAATACTCGGGTTTTATCCGACCTACGGCTATTGCTTCGCTAATCTAATCCTGTTTGATCGGCGAACCCTAGTAATCGCTTTTAATTCCTTGAACAACAGCTTGCAGCAGCGTTGATCTACACTTTTCTGAGTCGGTTAGAAACAACATATGCAAAGACCAGCGGCACCTATTAACCTGTACTGCTTTTAGGTCAAATAGGGAGTCAACCACAAGGTATGAGGCTTGAGAACTAATTTTTGAAACCCAATTAAAAGATAAATATTTCTAGATAATAAAGTTTGGGATCAGTGAGCGATCTTCTCGGTGTTGCGTTTTTGCCAGGGGCCAGTGATTTCTACAATCCAGTAAAACTAACTCACCAATACTTAGTTTTTCTTTCATACTTTTTTTTAATCTTTTCTGTTCTTCTTTTTGCTTCTCACTTATACTCTTTCTGAATTTTCGTGACGCTACCTAAACATTTTGGTAGTTTTTTTTCTGCTTTTCACACAAAATTTCCATTAACTGCTCTCACGTTCAAAGTAATCTAACTCCCTTACCTCGTCATCCGCCATTCAGTCATGAGTGTTATATATTCCTCTTTATTCTCCTCCGTCACTCGTTCTTTTTCGCCATTCTCCTTCAATTCATGATGTATTATCTGTCCAAGCACCTCAAAGTCGACGCTAAACCAAAGCTCCAATCCACACTCGTCAATATTATTGTCACGCACCCAAATAAGCGAATTATAAAACTCCGGATCGATGGTTTCAATGTCTTTTATAGTCAATTTCTTGTTCAACATACGCTTGTAGAAGGGCATTGTGAATCCGGAATATATAAAACGACCATGATACAATGCCATCGCTATGAAACGGCCAATAAATTTGAAATACTGCAAGTGATCTGGATTCACATACGAGGCCGGATTGATTTGCAAACTATAGTTGTTTTTGTTGGCGTACTCGAAGAGGCAATACATGGGATTGAGCACCTCATGTGATAGCAAAAAGAACCATTCACGCGACACACCACCATAGTCAAGACCCTCCTCACCACGGAAAATTATATAGAGGCGACGTCGCAGCTCATAGGCAGGCAAACGCATAATTTGGTGGTATGAATCTTCGAAGAGCGTCTGTCGTGTCACGGTTATTTTAATGTGTGACGGCAAAGCATTACTCTGGCAGAGGTAGCGGAATTGTGAGAGCTTCCAACGGAAGGAACGCTCATAGGCGCGTGGCACGCCATACACACCTTTAGCGCCTTTGGGTGCGCCCGGACGTGGATCGTCGAATGTGGTGCGGCGTGTATTGTGATCGACAAAGAAGCGTTCACCTGTAGTGGTGTAGCGTATCTCCCAGCCGGGCGGTAGTGGACCCTCGTTCATTAAACTAACTTCTTGACCTGGCGAGAGAAAGCAAAAGCGAGCGAGAATTTAGAAATCATTTGACACTAGAATGTTAGTACTATAGCTTTTATGCGCTACTCACCCTGCGTGCGCGGGTCCTCCCACTGTGTCGTGCGATTCTTGTGATTCACAAAGTATACACGATTATCCGATTGCACCTTCTTTTCCCAGCCATCGGGCAGCGGTCCCAATGCATCCTCATCGTCTTGCGTCACCGTGGCCGTCACCGCTGTAGGCTGTTGTTGTTGCTGTGAGTAGAGAAAACGTTGATTACCCTGTGCCACGACATGCGCACGCTGTCCTTGCCAATGTTGAAAATGCATAAGACG